AGGTTCTCTGAGTTTGGTTGCACTGAAGATGTTACCTAGCCGGGTAATGAAACGTTTGCAAGAAAACAACCAAGCTCAGAGAACCCCAAGGACTCCACAGTTCAACCCTGAGCTACACATAGTCGCTTCTATTAGAAATCTTTTCATTAGTCTAAGCAACCTTAAGTTGGAGGGAAATGGATGTGCTCTCTATGATTATTCAGGAAAAAAAAATTATTCAGAATAGCATAATGTGGGGCACTTGCTAGAGTTAACAAGAGAAAAAAATTATCTTAATTCATGAAAGCATAATCACATGACACTGTTAGCTTAGTACTTAAACCCCATTTCTCATATAGATTCAAGAATGCAATAAATTGAGACTAGTAGCATGGAATAAGTTTACCAATGTGTCCCTCATATTGTTCTCAGTCTGATGAGACAATGAAAAGTGTCTTGTTAGGAGGGTTTTTTTAGACACCATGCATACTAAGGAAATGTTTTAAAATATATAAATCTCAATGCTCTGAAATTTACCTGTATCCCTATTTCTGCTTTTTTCCTTCCCAGTCCATGCCCCTATGCCCTTTATGTTGAGGGCCTTTCAGATTCTCCACAATTCACTTCCCATCCATGCATAACCACTTTTCCTTATAAATCCAGAAATATATCAAAAGCAGAAAAGGAAGAGGACAAGAATTCTGATCACAGGCTATAGTCTCAATTTCTAGATCAGAGAGTTCGGTTCTCACACATTTTTGTAGCATGCATACATAGATTTGGGGGGAAAGTTCTACTTTCAGAGTGCTAATACTAGTTCAGTTTTCAGACCAATAATACAACCTCTATATTTCTCCCAAATATTTCTGATACAATAATTGTTCAGTGTGTATATATTAAACAGGCTCTGTGTGCATTTGGTCAAATCTGAGCAAAGGTTTTACATATTTGTGCAGAGACTTAGGCAATTCATTTTTTTGTTTTCTGTTTTTTTGTCATGGATGATGCTACAAAAATGCCACCATTTTTTTCCATTTCTAAAACACGGATGGCTTTCTGGATTGCAGCTGCTGTACAAAAGTCCGGGGATTAATGAAACAAAGCAGAGAGCAATTTATTCTGCTAAACATGGGCAACCACAAAATATTAAGGTTATTAGAAAAATGCAATTTCTGTTGATCCTTTTTTTCACTGAGACAGGAAAACAGGAAAGTCTTTATCCATAATTGCAGATAGAACAATAGAAACCCTATTTAATTACTCAAAGGTTTTGTAAGAAATGGATTTTTCTCTAAGTTTTACTGGCACGATTCTCCCAGTAAGTTCTTGTAGAAATAACAGGCATAGTATGTTTGTTTCTCAGTGACAGAGGTATCTCATGCTGTTAAAAAAAAAAAGAAACCCAACTTTGGCTCATGTTCTAATATTTCTTTCTCTCAAGCCAAGAGATGATTTCCAGACAGTAAAGCAATTAACTTTAAAAGCTGTTTCCTTGGAGAACAGAGATTTAGGATACTCCATAGTCTAGTTAAACAAGGCAGACTAAAAATGCAAGCCAATTTTTACTGTGTGTATGCCATAACAAACTAGGAAACACAAATAGCAATTCCAAGGGTCTTACATGGGCATGGAAACCTTTTTTGCAGAGGTGTTCTGAAAAGATTGCTCACATTCCTTAGTAGGGCAGGACCAAAGCCTGAAAAGGGTGGGGCCAAAGCCATATGTTCTCCATGCACACACATATCCTTCCACAGATACCTTCATGTATAAAACATGTAGAAGCTGCTGCAGCTGCTGAAAAATGCCTCCTGTTGGAATTATGGAAAGTTTGCTTTCAAAGTACTGTGGCTGGGTGTAGGAGGAATGGTCAGGAGGCCCCAAAAGTCAGCGGTTTGCACTGATATTCTGTACAACTGACCTGCAGCCTGGGTCCACAAATCACATGAAGCTGTAATGTGGTTTGTTTGATTTGGGTTTAGCGTATTATGGCAACCCAGTTATGCAGTTTGACCTGTTCTAGCTATGTAAACATTCTTTTAATACAGTTGCTGAAGATCAACAGATGTTAGGAAGCCTGAAATCATAGCAGAGTAAGCATCTATTGTCTTGAGAACCTGAAAAGGATTAGAGAATAGCAATATTGGACAGAAACATTGAATTTTCTTTCTTTAAAGCCATGTCCCAAAATCAGGGTGTTCACACTTTTTTAGCTTCATTGACTCATCTTTGGGGTAACCTCAGTGCAACTAATGCAGAACTACTCTATATGTCATAAGCCACTGTAGCTTACATAGAATGAAGAGACAGGGTTTTTTAGGGCCCTGGACAGGCATGTAATTGGCCCTCACTCTTTTACCCACATGAACTCAGCACTTTGATTCATACAACACGCTAATCCATAGTGTGGTTTCTCTGGTTTTGGCTTAGCATGTTGTAAGAACTCAGACATAGTGTTTTATTCAATAAATCATGTCATAACAGTGTAAGAATTCAATATGGGACTAACCTAAACAACCCTTCTATAAGCTGTACGTTGTAAGGGAAGCAGCTTGAATTTAAGAGAAGCTGTCATCATAATTCTGAGTTACTGAAATACCCTAAGATACCAGCATTAAACTGCCTATCTCCAAAGTGTAATACTTTAAATTTGTCCTTTTATTGTCTTACTTTATGAGTTACAATTTTGTAGTTACTTTCTTCCTAGACAAAAGTTCTCACAATTTCTATCTGAAGAGGCAGACACTGCCCTGTAATATGAAGATCAACCAGGATGGTTATATCTTCAGATGGACCTCCTCACCTATGGTTGACAACTGGTTTACGAGCATTTTCCAGTACTGAAAACATATCTTGTACTGAGCTGTAGGAAAGGAATCAGCCTGTCTGGTTTTCATTTTTTTAAAAAATGTAACTACAGCATTTCCAGATGTGGCACTGACATAGAGCAAAAATTCATGTCCTAAGGAACAAAACAGAATCACAAATTATTTGTAACAATCACTTTTTAAAAAGGTATTTTTAAATGACTGCAGTAAGAATGTTAAGGATTGTTTCCACTTCTACTAACTGAATGGGACAAATAAACAATATATATTGCAAGGGCAAGGATCCTACAACCCTCAGATGTATTAGACTGCAATTCCTATCAATGCCAACCAGCCTAACCAATGGTTAGGAAAACCAGAAATTGGTGTTCCTCAACATCTAAAGAGCCATAGATTGTCTATCTTGGGTCTGCTGTATAGACCTCCTATATGTACATAAATGCCTTCTTAGACCAGTGTTTCTCACCCTCAGCAACTAGTGGACTTCAACTCCCAGAATTCCCCAGCCAGCATTCTGGCTAGGGAATTCTGGGTGTTGAAGTCCACACATCTTGAAGTTGGTTGTTGAGGTTGAGAAACACTGTCTCAGACATATATCCAAAACACTATTGCCTTTTACTGAATAACACATTCAACATCAGTTTTCTATTATATATTGAGCATCCATAGCCAGCAATAGTAATGGCAGAACATTGCTGAAGTAACCCCAGAGCAAATTTTGAGAAATCACGCTACAATATGCCAGCTAACATCCATTTAATGTTTCACCTCTTTTCATTTATGGGTTGATTATTTTGTACAACATTATCCCTGCCAGAGATAGTCTTCACTATTCTTTGCTCACAGAAAGGATAAATACAGATTTAAAATGTGATCTGTGTCCTGAGGGAAAACTGATTGCAATCTGAATGAGGCTTCTTTTTCAATGTTTCAAACAAGATTGAAGTATGCTTTTCTTTTTGTCTTTTTAAAGTAAGTTGGTGCTTTGCTGATTATGCTACGAGAAAAAAACTTGGTTCCAAAAGGGAGTTAATATTTAGATTGGCTTTTATTGTGACTCACTATAAAGCCTTAATTTACTACTACCAAGAAATAAAGCAGTATATTAGTATGATGCCTTGATTGATCAATGAGTAAAAGTGAAAAATGTTTACACATATGGGGACAGCATCTCACTTTAAACTTCTTTTGAGAGATGGTTTAATCTTACACAAAAACGGCAGGGAAGTGGCAGAATTGAAATGCTGATAAGTGTTGCCCATCCCAGATGGCACCATAACATTCCTAGCTAGGCCATGCTTTCCTAGAAATTATGTGAGGAAAGACAAAATAGGAGCATGTCACAATGCTGGTCCCATTAGCTACCCAAGCCTTTCCCATGCTCTTTAAGCTATACAGTTCCCAGAATATTCAGCCAGTGAGAATAACTAACTTCCATGGCTAAGAAGCATCTCAATGTAATATTAGGCTTATTGATGGCCAATTTTTTCCCTCACCAGTGATTGGTTATGTGCTGTGACAACCCCCCCCCCAAAAAATCATACCTGTGAAACGAAATACCTATGTCCTTTTCCTATGGATAATTTTAAGTTTAGTAGTCTGTTGTTCAATAATGTTTTAGCACTGAGCCATATTTTGGGCCCTTCCCTTGTTTGTTTGTTTGTTTTTAATCATTTCATTTTCATTTCAATAACTTTTCTTTACTCCACTTTCACCTCTGCCATGCAGTTCTAAATATTCATTCACCATCCTTTGTTTTGACATGAGAATCTACTATAGACTTTAACCTTTAGGGGATGGAATATGCCCAGCAACTCAATTAGAGGTCTAAAACTCAAATCACCATGAGAACTAGTGCATTAGCCTGAAGGCTGAACATTAAAGCCTTATTATACATTGATGCATAAGTGACAATGAATCTCACCCCATTTTGCCCTGAATCATCTCTAGAATCTATATCATTACAACCATGTAGCTGGAAACACAACTCA